ACTGGAGCCGCAGGATGGCGTCCTTTAATGTTGTGAAGTGCCCCATGGGAAGGGAGGCTCTGGCCCTCATCGCATCCAGGAAAGCTCCCACAAATTTTATCACTTGAGTGGGGACATGGGTGGATTTGGCCTTGTTTAGGATAAGGCCCAGCCTGAGGAACAGCTCCCTGACAAGGGATATGTGGCTGATTACCTGGGACGGTGAGGAGCATCTTATAAACCAATCATCCAGATACAGATAAATCTGGATCTATTCCTTCCTCAGTAAAGTAGCCACTATTGCCATACACTTTGTAAAAGCTTTGGGGGCCAGAGTAAGGCCAAAGGGAAGGGCCCTAAACTGATAATGGTCACAACCCACCATAAAATGGAGGAATCATCTGCGCGAGAGTGCGATAGAAATGTGAAAATAGGTGTCTTTGAGATCAAGGGCAGCATATCAATCTCCCATGGCTAGGGAAGGAATGATGGAGGCCAAAGTTACCATTTTGAACTTTGACTTTACTATGAAAGTATATAGATCCCTCAGGTCCAGAAGAGGGCGGAAGCTGCCCTTGGCCTTTAGGACTAGGAAGTAGTGGGAGTAGAAACCCATTCCCCTGAGGTGCCAGGGGACCTCTACTGCCCGCAGGTCGAGAAGCTTCTTCACTTCCATCCTGAGAAAATGCTCGTGAGAGGGATCCCTGAAGTGGGATGGGGAATGGGAATGGAAAGGGATTAAATAACTCCTTCTGACTATGGCCAGGACCCAGCGATCCATTGTGATGAGCAATCAGGCACAATGGAAGGGCAAAAGACAATCAGTAAAAGGCTTACATTCTAAGACCTTTGCGCTGTCCTTGCTTGCATCTTCAAAGATTTGGCCCAGGACCCTGGAGTTTGCCAGAATGGCCTGCCCCCATTGGAAGATGAGTGGGAAGGAGGCCTGCCACTTCTATTATTATTATTATGACCCCTGCATCTAGGGAAATCTGACCTATTCCCCTGCTGGAAATGGCAGGCTGGAGCTCTAGGGAGGGAGTGCTTCTGTGGGGCAGGAGTATGAATGCCTAGGGACCTGAGGGTTGCCCTAGAATCCTTCAGCCCATGGAGGCTAGTATCAATCTATTCTGAAAACAAGCTCCCACTCTCAAGGGGCAGGTCCTGGATTATGTTCTGGACTTCTGCTGGGATGCCAGACACCTGAAGCCATGTGCCTCTGTGCAGGCCCAGGCCCGTTGCAATGGTACAGGCTGCCACATCCATGGAGTCCAGGGCTGCCTGGAGTGCCGCCCAGGACACAACCTTGCCCTCCTCGGACAAGGCCCTGAACTCCTGCCTCAAGTCCTGGGGCAGCAACTCACTCAATTTGTCTATAGCTGCCCATGAGTTGAAGACATACCTACTCAGGAGGACTTGCTGGTTAGCAATCCTGAGTAGGAGACTCCCTGAGGCATAGGCCTTGTGACCCAACAGGTCCAATCGATTGGCCTCCCTGTTCTTGGAGATAGGGGCAGATTGGCTCTGATGCTCATGGTGGTTAGCAGCCTTTACCACTATTGAGCCCAGCAGTGGATGTGAGAACAGGTGCCCATGGCCCTCCTTGTGGACAAAGTACCACCGTTCTGCCCTTTTGTCCATGGGCGGAATAGATGCTGGCATCTGTCAGAAGGGCCTTGGTGATTTTGTCCATCGTCTTATTCAAGGGCAAGGCCACACGAGACTGCATCTTTGTATTGAGGATGTATACCGTCGGTTCAAAGTCCTGAGAGGCCTGTTCAAGCTGGACCCTGAGACTTTAGGCCAGTCTCCAGAGGAGTTCTTGGTGGGCCCAGGAGTCCATGGCCAGGATTGACGAGGAGGCCAACCCTAGGTCCTGGGCCTGATTATGACAAGGACAAAAGAGATTGTTTAACAGTTGCTCATCAAGACTTTGAGGGTAATACCCTTCATGTGTCTCATTCACAAATTTGAAACCCACAAAGTATTCCCCACTCCATGACTGTGTCTACACTGGGCCACTTATTCCGGAAAATCAGCTGCTTTTCCGGAATAAGCTGCAAGCTTTCTACACTGGCCCTTGAATTTCCGGAAAAGCAACGATGCTCTACTGTACAAAATCAGCCGCTATTCCGGAAAAACTATTCTGCTCCCGCTCGGGCATAAGTCCTTATTCCGGAACACTGTTCCGGAAAAGAGCCAGTGTAGACAGCCCAGTAGTCTTTTCCGGAAAAAAGCCCCGATCGCGAAAATGGCGATCGGGGCTCTTTTCTGGAAAAGCGCATCTACATTGGCCACAGATGCTTTTCCGGAAAAAGGGCTTTTCCGGAAAAGCAGCCTGCCAATGTAGACGCTCCTTTTCCAGAAAAACTGAAAACAGAATAGTATTCCGTTTTAAGCATTTCCGAAAATTCATGCCAGCGTAGACACAGCCCCTATGTCTAATTTTACACATAAACAAATGATACATACATCAAAGTAAAATAAACAGAACCAGTGGATCATGACATGAAGATTGATGGGTTCCATGAAATAATTTGTTCAAAGCACCTTTGAGTTATGTATATTCACGTACATAAGTCCATTTAATAAAGCATGGGGGGAGGTGTCCACCACAGACACCTCAACACCGACAAAGCTCCTGAAGACACCGGTGTCTCCTGCACCGAGGGCAGTATGCTGCGGGACTCCAGTGCCGCGTCCACCAACAGTGCTGGATGAAGCCCCAGCTCCATTAGGAGAATCTTCAAGCACGAATCTCTCTCACGCTGAGTCCGGGGCTTAGAACTGCGGCAGATTCTGCAGTTAGCCAGGAGGTGGGCCTCACCCAGACACTTCAGGCACAAATTGTGCAGGTCACCACAGGGCATAGGCTTGAAACAGTCTGCACAGGGCTTAAAGGCATGAGGCCCTGGCATGCCCCATGGGCTGGGAGAGACGGGGACGCAACAGGCAAGCCCCAGCCCAAACAAACTTAACTAACTTCATCTAAACTAGCTTCAGGGGTTAGCCAAGTTAGTCTGTACAGGATACACTAAAAAACCAACAAATATTCTGGCAGCACTTTATAGACTAACAAAACATGTAGATGTTATGATGAGCTTTCGTGGGCACAGCCCACTTCTTCAGAGAAGAAGTGGGCTGTGCCCACGGAAGCTCATGATACCATCTACATGTTTTGTTACTCTATAAAGTTCTGCCAGAACATTTGTTGTTTTTTTAGTTTATTCTATCTAAACTAGTACTTAACAAGAGAACTTGGAAAGAACAAAGGGATTCAACTACGTGCTAACTAACTCTAAACACTTGCTGAGAGCATGCTTGAAAGCAAGCGAGAAAAGAGCTCCAAGAAAAGGAGGTAAGAAGGAAATGAGGGGGTGGAGGGTCAGTAGGTTACAGTAATTCCTCATTTAACACGGTAGATACGTTTCAGAAAATGATCATGCTAAGTGAAAGCGTGTTATGCGGGCTCAATGTTCCCAATGAAAATAATGGAAAAGGTGGGGGTTGCATTTCAAGCGCACATGCACTCGCAGCTCCAGCCTGCACTTGTTAGCAGCTGGGACCAAGACATAAGGTTGGGGGGGAAAAGGGACTGGGTTATAGCAGGGAGCGGAGGTATTTGGCTCTGGAGAAGGGAAGGGAAGGACAGGGGAGGGGGCTTGCAGCCGGCAGCTGGATTTCCCCAGCTGGCCGGTCACTGCCAGCTGCGCGGGGCTTCCTCTGCCTCCTTACAAAGCGCTGGAGGTTTGCTGCTTGCCACGCAGTTCCCCAGAGACCCCCTCTGGCTGGACGCAAGGCATCTGGCCGGAGGGGGTCACCGGGGAACTGTACAGCGAGTGGCAAACCTCTGCCGCTTTGTGAGGAGGCGGAGGAAGCCCAGGGCAGCTGCGCGAGGCTTCCTCTGCCTCCCTGCAAAGCGGCAGAGGTTTGCTGCTCGCCGCACAGTTCAGCCAGAGGGGGTCACCGGGGAACAGCGCTGTGAGTGGCAAATCTCTGCCGCTTTGCGGGAGGCAGGGGAAGCCTTGCACAGCTGCCGGCCACCGGCCGGCCCTAGGGGACATCATGTTATTGCGGGGATGGGGTTGTGCTGTTTGAAAAATGTTCTCTAAAAAAAAAATTGTGCTATTGTGAAAATGTGTTAAGCGGGCACGTGTTAAGTGAGGAATTAGTGTATGTGGAAAATGGTGCACGGATATAGCAGCACCACTCCAGGGGGCTCCCCTGCTGGCTCGACGGGTACCACTAAGGGAAAACTCTCCGACAATCTGTGCGTGCAATGTGCGCACACCTAAGTGGAATGGACATGAGCAAGCACTCAAAGAAGAATTTGTTAGATCTGGTATTAGTGTTTTACAATAGCAATTTCGTACATTGTATAAGTATGTAACGCGCTCTGTAGGACTGTGCAACATTCGGTAGCAATCATACATATCAGTAACTTTTACCAGTAGCAATCTTACAGGGAAGCAGTTTTAGACAAAGCATCATAGGTAACTGCTGCCTCTAGAGTTGTGCCACTGCGGGTAGCAATATCTTACAGAAGCATTTCCTTACAATTGTATGTATTAGTTATTGCTACTAGTAGCACATCACTACAGGGAGCATCCTATACAAAGAGCTGTATGTAACTGCTACCTGTAGGATTGTGCTACTTCTGGTAGCAATATCTTATAGGAACAGTTCCTCACAATCATTCAAATCAGAAACTACCACCTATAGCCAGTGCTACAGGGAGCAGCTCTGTACAAACTGCTCTGGTTACATGTGTGCTCGGATCTCCCTCTTACTGTGGTGTTCAGACAGATGCCTTTGGAGTTACCTTTTTGCTTTGAAACAGCACAATATAATATACTAGCTGGAGTTACCCAGCGTTGCTCGGGAAACCAGAGGAAAAAAAATGTAGAAAAACAGTAGTCCGTTATCTTTTTTTGAATGGTAGAAAAGTTGCACTGATTTCTATAGGGATTAAAATATAGGTCCGCGTCATCCCCGGAGGGGGAGGGGTATGACCCTGGAGGGGGAGAGGAGGTTACACATAGGAGGGGCAGCCCCAGCTCGCGCCTGGGGCTGCAGGTGCTGCGGGGGGCAAGGCAGGTGCCTGAGCCATTGTGCCGATGCGGGGGGGAGGGAGGGTCGCTCATGTAACCTCACATGCAGGAAGGGGTGAGTCCCAGACAGTGCAGTGCAGCAGGTTACTTTTTGATTTATACAGCCTGAGCTTGGGCCCGATCAGGTCCCAAAGTACCTTAAACCCTTCTCCTGGAGGAAAGGTTCTCCCATGCAAAGTTGGTTGCGGTAGCTCCTATGGTGTCCAAGTTATTAGCTCACAAACCTACAAACATTCTCCTTTAGATATTGGATTATGGCTGCTGGAAGCTACTCTGTCCTCCCTCAAGGATGAATGGAGCTGTCCTATACCACACTCTGAAGCACATGTGCTTTTTTTTAAACCATCTGTTGCCAAAACAAAGCAGGGAGGAAAGTAATAAGGAAATTTGACATGTAAGTACCTTTTAAATGCTTCCAAATCACCACTATGTCCATGTAAAAGTATCAAAATAAGTGCCTGAAGAAAAGTAGAAGGTTGCATCTACAAGTGAAAATGGATGCCAAGAGGAGAGGGAATAAAGTAAGAAAAACTGAGCATTCAAAAATGAAAATGCTTCACCCTTTTGCTCAGGAGGCATTTTATTTATGCTGATATCAGTTCTAATAAGGTCAGGATTTGGACATATCTTTTCACTACTGACATAACATTTATTTTATTTAAAAAATGTAAAGAAGCCTATGAACAGCACAATAAAATAAAACATTTACCAGGGTAAATATTAACTATGATTGTTATGTGTTGTTATATTTCATGTGTACATAGATAGAAATTAGGGGGAAAGGAATAGTTTTTTTCTCTCTAACTAAATATACTTGTCAACTTACAGCTAATCTTTATCGGAGAATGTGCGAAAAAGACAACTCCTTCCAGCCAATCACATAAAAGCATTCTTTTCCCAGCTAATACTAAAGCAGGGGTGAGCAATAATTTTTGACTGGGGGCCACTCCGAAGTTTTTGAAGTGGCCCTGGGCCACCCCAGAAGGGACTGAGCCAGGAAACTTCTGGGCTTCCCCATCCACAGACCCTGATTGGTCTGGGAGTAGGGAGCGCACAAAGTCTTTGCCCTCCCGTTCCCCAGAGAGAACCGTCAGCTGTACTGAACAACTGGCAGTTCCCTCTAGGCATCTGTGACCCTGGCAGTGGGAGGAGACTTTGCCTGCTCCCCCTGCTTTCCCCAAGTCAATCAGGGCCTGGAGAGGGGGAGCACGTGAAGTCTCTCACTCCCTGCACCTGCCCTGCAAGGGAGCGCTGCGCTTAGAGTCAGCTGCCAGCTGAGCAGCAGCTGGAGGTTGACTTTAACTGCTGAGTCCCTTGCAAGGCAGGAGGAGACTTCATACGCTTCCCCCACCCACAAGCCCTGATGGGCCCGAGGGCGGGGGGAGTGTGCAAAGTCCCCAGTCTGCCCCCGTCCTGCCAGGAGTGCGCGGCACTTAGAAGCACCACGCCCCTCGCAATGTGGGAGGAGACTTTGTGCGCTTCCCCCAGGTTCTGATTGGCCTGGGCAGGAGGGAGCAGCAGGGCCTACACGGGCTGGATCAACGTGCTTGGTGGGCCACATCTGGCCCCCGGAGGCCCTTTTCCCACCCCTGGTCTAGACGGTGCAGGGTCCTGCCGTGGGGACTCTCGAGGTCCCCTCCAGCGCTAGTGCGCGGGGCTCTATGGAGGCTGCTCCGCCGACGGGAGGTTGACTTTAACTGCTGAGTCCCTTGCAAGGCAGGAGGAGACTTCATACGCTTCCCCCACCCACAAGCCCTGATGGGCCCGAGGGCGGGGGGAGTGTGCAAAGTCTCCTCCCACTCTGCCCCTGTCCTGCAAGGAGTGTGTGGCCCTTAGAAGTGCCACACCCCTCACAGTATGGGAGGAGACTTCATGTGCTTCCCCTTGCCCTCAGGCCAATCAGGGCTTGGGGTCGGGGGGGGGGGCGCCCTCCCGCCTTGCCAGGAGCACACAGTCCTTCTAAGCACCGAGCACTTCTTGCAGGGCGGCGGCAGGGCAGGAGGAGACGACTTTGCGCGCTTTCCCCCGCCCCCATGCTCTGATTCGCCTGGAGGCAGGGGAGAGTGGCAGGGCCTCCATGAGCTGGATCAATTTGCTGGATGTGGCCTATGGAGGCCCTTTTGCCCATCCCTGTACTAAAGAATGAGACACCCAAGGGGAGGATGCACAAAGAAAAATCAAGGTAAACCTATCTAAACAAACAGAACTGTATTTGACAATCCCAATATGAACTGTAACCTGGTATGTAAATATTGATTATTTTAATACTTAATATTTCATAGGTATGCTTTGTTATTGACGTATTTCTAGTAGGCTTCTTGGAAAGGGGCTATTTCTATTTGCATGGTAAGGAAAGAGTTTCCAAAAGCTGTGGAAGGCCTTCAAAAAGACTAATTAGACATTACATAAAACTTCTCTAAAATTCTAAACTCATCAAACCCATACCAAAATTGTTCCATGGAAATAGTGAAAAGGTACCTTGTATTAAATGCATACAAGCATCCATGCAAACCATTCAAAGGAGAGATGAGAATTTAACATAAACCAAAATAAGGGGAGGGGGAAATCTCTGTATCTCTGTAAAAGTTATCCCAATCAATATTGGTGTAACAAATCGGGAAATGACCTCTAAGACGACCCTCAGTGCTTTGAGGACTTCACAGATGAGCCCTATGGAGGGGAAAAGCAGCAGTTTCTACTATCAACGCTCTGTAAAACTTTCTGAGTGATGTACCTGAATACTTGATTGCTAATATCCAAACACCATTGTTACACTTACACGCCTAAATCTCGGTTATTGCTATGTGTATTATAACTCCAAAGCAAAACTTTTATTTGTAGATAATCCAAGCATGACACCCGGATGTACAAAAACTTTATTTCTTAACCTGTGTACTGTGTACTTTTTTTTAACATTAGCTTCAATATAAATTTTTAAACTGTTAAACAATTGTTTAACAACTGTTAAACATCAAACACACATAATCAATTAAGCTGTTGTGCTGGACAGTGTGACCATGGTTGATGAGGTCTCACCAGGCAACAAGTAATACAGTTTCCTGATCTGTCTCAATTCAGTGAATACATAAATCTCTGGGGTGGCCCTAGAAGTAGTGCCAGGTAGAGTGGGGGTATGCATCTCTTCACATGATGATGGAGAGTTTGAGACCACTGTCTGCTGGGAGTGTTTTGGTCTATCCTGGCAACATGGCAAAAGAGTATGCAAAGCCTCTTTTGAATATGAGCAGTTGAAAGAAAGCCAACTTTTAGTGACATTATGACACTTCACACAAAGTCAAATGATTTTTTGTTCAGTATTTGGCACTGACAGCACTATGGAATCACTCTAGCCACTCCAAATCTTCCATAAGAGAGTCCAGGTATCTGATCTGCATTGCAATACAGCTAGCACAAAGGTTTGATCGTTACTGAACTCTGTCTCAGTGCAAAGATGTTTGTGAATCCATATGCAAGACATAAGCTTCATGAAGGTGATGGTTAGATGAACTCATCAACATTCCTCATGGTACATAACCCCTTTGGTGATCCAGCTCCAAGGTTCTGGACCTTGGTCCCCTGCCATGAGACATCAAACCCCATAGTGCAGGTAGTGTCTTGGGAAGCAGAGCTGAAATTCTCTGACTTTGCCACAACCAAGACAACACTATTGACATAGGGTTAATTGGTAAACATTTCTTGACAACTGTAAATCCAACGTCTGGAGTGTCAAGTCCTAATATCCAGTGATAGCTCAAATAGGGCCTGATGAAATGCATCCTAGAATACTCAAGGAGATGACAGAGGAGGTATCTGAGCATCTAGCTATCATCTTTGGAAAATCATGGGAGACAGGAGAGATTCCAGAAGACAAAAGGGCAAATATAGTACCCATTTATAAAAAGGGAAATAAGAACAACCCAGGAAACTACAGACCAGTTAGTTTAACTTCTGTGCCAGGGAAGATAATGGAGCAAGTAATTGAGGAAATCATCTGTAAACACTTGGAAGGTGGCAAAGTGATAGGGAACAGCCAGCATGGATTTCTAAAGAACAAATCATGTCAAACCAATCTGATCACTTTCTTTGACAGGATAACGAGTTTTGTGGATAAGGGAGAAGCGGTGGACGTGGTATACCTAAACTTTAGTAAGGCATTTGATACGGTCTCACATTATCTTCTTATCAATAAACTAGGCAAATACAACTTAGATGGGGCTACTATAAGGTGGGGGCATAACTGGCTGGATAACTGTATTCAGAGAGTAGTTATTAATGGTTCACAATCCTGCTGGAAAGGTATAACTAGTGGGGTTCCGCAGGGGTCTGCTTTGGGACTGGCTCTGTTCAATATCTTCAACAACTATGTAGATATTGCCATAGAAAGTACGCTTATTAAGTTTGCAGATGATACTAAGTTGGGAGGGGTTGAGTCTGCTCTGGAGGATAGGGTCATAATTCAAAATGAGCTGGACAAATTGGAGAAATAGTCTGAGGTAAAAAGGATGAAGTTTAATAAAGACAAATGCAAAGTTCTACACGTAGGAAGGAACAATCAGTTTCACACATACAGAATGGGAAGCGACTGTCTAGGAAGGAGTACAGCAGAAAGGGATCTGGGGTTATAGTAGACCACAAGCTAAATATGAGTCAGCAGTGTGATGCTGTTGCAAAAAAAGCAAACATGATTCTGGGCTGCATTAACAGGTGTGTTGTGAGCAAGACACGAGAAGTCATTCTTCTGCTCTACTCTGTGCTGGTTAGGCCTCAGTTGGAGTATTGTGTCCAGTTCTGGGCACCGCATTTCAAGAAAGATGAGGAGAAATTGGAGAGGGTCCAGAGAAGAGCAACAAGAATGATTACAGGTCTAGAGAACATGACCTATGAAGGAAGGCTGAAAGAACTGGGTTTGTTTAGTTTAGAAAAAAGAAGACTGAGGGGTAACATGATAGTTTTCAGGTATCTAAAAGGGAGTCATAAGGAGGAGGGAGAAAAATTGTTCTCCTTGGCCTCTGAAGAGAGAACAAGAAGCAATGGGCTTAAACTGCGGCAAAGGAGGTTTAGGTTGGACATTAGGAAAAAGTTCCTAACTGTCAGGATAATTAAACGCTTGAATAAATTGCCCAGGGAGGTTGTGGAATCTCATCTCTGAAGATATTTAAGAGTAGGTTAGATAAATGTCTATCATGGATGGTCTAGACAGTATTTGGTCCTGCCATGAGGGCAGGGGACTAGACTCGACCTCTCGAAGTCCCTTCCAATCCTAGTGTTCTATGATTCTATAGTGCCAGAGAAAAAATGCAACCGTACTACACACCTGAGATTGTGCAGAAACACAGAGGAAGCTGTGAAGCAATACGTGCATTCACACCAGTACCAGTATGAAAACTGTGCACCAAATTTAGCAAAACTGCTGTAGGATCGCATTGTTTTAGTGCGAGCCCAAGTGCTGATCTGATAATTGAATCAAAAACTGCCTTTACATCATTACATACCACATGAAAATAGATGTTTAAATTCTCAGTGTGGTTCAGCCAGTAGCCGGAGGGTAAGGACAGCATCTATTGTTGACCACCTAACAGGGAAACTAGACTGCAGTGTACAATGATGTCTGTTAATGACCTGCTGCAACCTACCAAACGGAACTAAGGATGTGAAGTATTGGGTAATTGACTAATCGAATTGACGATACATTTTGAATCAACTCTTCGATTAGTTGATAGGGCGCCTCTGCCTTTGAAGTGTAGCAACAGCTCTAGAGCTGTTGCTACACTTCAAAGGCGAAAGTGCTGTGTGGAGCCCAGGATCTACTGGGGACTTCCCTGCTGACCCCAGACTCTGTGCGGTGCTGCCGCTTTGAAACGGCCCGAGGGCGGGGGGAGTGTGCAAAGTCTCCCCCCAGTTTGTAAGGAACCTGACACTGAATGCCCTGCAGTGTTTCAAAGCGGAAGCACTGCACAGAGCCAGGGTCAGCTGGGGAGTCTCCAGCTGATCCCAGGCTCCACACAACACTACCACTTTGAAATGCCACGAGGAGTCTGAGGCCAGACTCCCCATGGTGTTTCAAAGCGGCAGAGCCACATGAAGCCTGGGGCCAGCTGGGGACTTTCCCCCCCCCCCCACTCTCATCCCAGGCTCCACACGGCGCTGCCTCTTTGAAACACCATGTGCAGCCTGGGGACACCCCAGCCTGCCCTAGGCTGCATGCAGCTTTTCAAAGTGGCAGCGTCACGTGGAACCTGAGGTCTGGTCCCAGGCTTCAAGTTGCACTGCTTCTTTGAAGTGCCCCCTCTTCTCCCCCCCTTTTGCTACCTCTATCTGATAGAGGCAGCGGGGGGAGGGGAGGCAAAGGAAGGAGTGACTAGTCGACTATCCTGTCAACTATCTGATAAGCAAATGTTTATCAGATAGGGATGTGAAGGACTAGTTGACTAATTAGAACATGAGCAAAGACCTTTCCAGGGACTCATAACAGTGAAAGTTATGATCATGAGATTAATATCGCATTATTGTTCACTGAGCTGGGTAGTTGGGCAATCGAGCCATCGGACTTTGGAACTTGGAGCAGACTTTTTTTAGCCTGACCATTAAGAGATTGGTATTCCCAGTTATGGATATCTTTACATAATGAAAATGCTTTTACATTTGAAAAACCCCACATACTGTGGCTGTGTCTACACTGGGCCACTTATTCCAGAAAAGCAGCCGTTTGAATTTCCAGAAAAGCAGTGACGATTTACTGTAAGAAATCAGCTGCTTTTCCGGAAAAACTATGCTGCTCCCACTCGGGCAAAAGTCCTTTTTCCGGAAAACTGTTCCGGAAAAGGGCCACTGTAGACAGCACAGTAGGTTTTTCCACAAAAAAGCCCCGATCGCGAAAATGACGATCGGGGCTTTTTTCCGGAAAAGCGCGTCTACATTTTCCGGAAAAGCGTCCGTGGCCAAAGGGCTTTTCTGGAAAAGCATCCTGCCAATGTAGACGCTCTTTTTCCGGAAATACTTATAACGGAAAACTGTTCCGTTTTAAGCATTTCCGGAAAAAGGTGCCAGTGTAGACACAGCCTGTCAGAACAATTGTCTTGTGGCAACTTTATGGCAAAGAGATACAGAAGTTGTTATATCAGAAGACATGCACAATTTTAAAGCCATTTAGGCTGGTTTGCTATAACGATGTAGAGTGGTGAACATCTCTTACCAGCATTTCAATGCTGGTGCACTACATTGCTACAGTTATACATCAATACATGAGAAAGATAGATTATTTAGCTCTTATCTCAGATTTCTGAATCACCCATACAATTAAAATTTCAATTGGTTAAAGACTGTATGGATTCCTGGTTTCTAGTTTTCTAAGGGTGGTGATGTAAGGTCAGAGTTAATTATTTTTTTAAATCCTTATTATTTGGTTGATGGATAGAAGTGATTTTATTTGTGCATTAACTTTGAAGTTTCAGAAACCTTCCTTTCCATAGTTTGGCTCAATTTAGCATGGACATGACATTTTCCCATTTTTTTCCTCCTTTCCTTTCCCATCCCCTCTCTTTCTCTGCTATTTATTTGGAAACTGGACCCCTTAAACTCCATTCATCTGAAGAAGTGGGTTGTGTTAGAGAAGCCACAGGTGACCCAGGAGCAGATGAGATAAATGGAATCACTTTATTGCCCAAACACATGTTTACCTCAGACATTCAACACAACATCTGAGCTGCAACAGTTTTTGGCACCCATTACACCCTTTTAACTATTTTAGTATGTTAATTCACACATCTATCACTACTTTCCCTAAAACCTTAATAGTAATGTTAATGCCTACAAAAAAGAATATTAATAAGCAGGTGATGAATATTATAATACCTGCCCCTGATTACTATTTCCAGAATTTCTAATTAAATCAACACTTTCCTATGCTACAAACTTTCCAAATCAATAGGCTACAGCGATTACAAGAGATGTAGCTCTGAAAATCTCTTATATAGCACCAGTGAGGGTAAGTAAGTAAAAGGCACAACAAAGAGTAATTGCATACTTATTGATTTTTCTCAGATACAAAATGAGCATGTTTATAAATCAGGAAGCATAAGGGGACTCTAAATCTATCTTTCCAGACTGTAGAAACAAAGGGAAAAAACATGTTCAAGGGTAATGCTGTGGCTGAAGTCCTTAATTACCTGCCTACAGCCATCCTAGACCCCTATGGGTTAATGTAGCACTGTAAAGACTAACAAGATGGTTTATTAGGTGACGAGCTTTCGTGGGCCAGACCCACTTCCTCAGATCAACCATATACACCAAAGGGTACAATTAAAAAATGAACACACATGAAAAGGAATGTGATTTGTCCTTTTCATGTGTGTTCATTTTTTAATTGTACCCTTTGGTGTATATGGCTGTGACTACTTTCTTCCACTATTTGCTCTGAGGAGGTGGGTCTGGCCCACGAAAGCTCATCACCCAATAAACCATCGTGTTAGTCTTTACAGTGCTGCATTGTCCAGCTGCCCCAGCCTGACACGGCTCCGCTTCTCTCCCTACGGGTTACCCAGCCCAAGGGCCGGCCCCCGCGGCGGGGTCACGCTGCTGGCTGTGGCTCTGCAGCGGTAACTCGCGGGATTAACGGAATGGGGAAGTAGGAGAGGCTGTCCGGTTGCAACACTCCGCATCATGCGTGCGCACGTGACCCCGCAGCGCTGACTGACCGGAGATTCCGGAGGGAGCGACCCTGCCCGGGTCGGCGCGCGGGCTCCTTGTCCCGGGGGCGGGGTGCCCCAAGCGGTTAGTCTCTGACGGGCCCCGTGTTTCCGAGCTGGCGGCAGGACCGCGCAGGCC